AAATTGCATTAATAAAGTGAACGTTAGTCTTTATTAAATCAAGTAGTCGTTATTTTGTCTTTCCTTTGTCCGGAGGTCGCGTCTATATTTGTTTGTTTTAATTCGAATTCGCCGGTAGCGTAGCACGGATCACGCGGATAGCGGTAGACGGGAATCTTCGACTTAGTTTCCAGCAGCGGCCGCGCGAGCGCTACTAGTAAGGGCGACAGCGCCGCCAAGCGGTGAGTTGGGGGAACCCAGCTCGGAATAGTGAAGAGACTCTGCGCAGGCGCACTCCGAGACAAGGTAGGTTGATGTACTTCGAGCACATAGATAACTAGGCGTCGTCTAGTCTTAATAAAGGTACATTCAAAAGATTATAGACTAAACGGCAGCCTGTTACAAACGATGCATTTATAGATGAAAGAACATATCAAAGCTTAACTATTCAGTATGATACTGTCTCGGATTTTGGGGATGACATACCATCACTCATTGATCTAACTCGTAATGAAATAGATGCAGGCATCACAAATGATGATTCTGAAAATCGAACTCGAGGGGAAATTAATGAGAAAGTTGATGAAAGCTCTAACCTTACCGATGCTCAAAAAAATGAGATAGCTTCGCTTGTGTACGAGTTTAGAGATGTATTTCGTAAAAAATTAGGTTTATTGAAAGGATATACTCATAAATTAATTTTAAAAGATAAAGAGCCATATTTTTCAAAACAGTATCCTATACCGTTAAATTATCGAGAAAATGTTCGAATTGCAATCAAAGAAATGCTAAGAGATGGCGTTATTCGTTGATCAATTAGTAATTATATTAATCCAATTGTTATAAGCATTAAAAAAGACGGATCAGTGCGATTTTGTTTAAATGCTCGAAAATTAAATAAAAAATTAGTTAAAGATTATGAAGCCCCACTACATATGGATGATATTTTTCAACATTGTTTCGGAGTAAAATTTATTTCTAGTTTTGATTTGACAAGTAGTTTTTGGCAGATTCCTCTCGATGAAGAAAGTAAAAAATATACAGCATTTATTATCGAGGGCAATACCTACGAATTTAATGTAGTTCCTTTCGGTACATGTACTAGCACAGCAGCTTTGGTAAGAGCTTTAAATTTGTCAATTGGCGATTTAAAACAATTTATTATACCATTTGTGGATTATTTCTAAAACCTATGTATTTCTAAAACCTTCAATGAACATATTTATCATTTACGAACGTTATTTACATGTTGTCGAAGAGATAATTATACATTGAAATTTTCAAAGTCTAAATTAGTTCAAGAAGAAATTGAATTTTTGGGACATATTATAACTCCACAAGGTATAAAAGCTCAAAAAAGCAAATTAGAAATAATTCAAAATTATAAAGCTCCAAAAAATTTGAAAAGCTTGCAAAGCTTTCTTGGATTTGTTAATTTCTATACAAAATTTGCAAAAAATTATGCTGAAATATGTAGACCTTTAATGAATTTATTGCAACAAAGTAAAGGCTATCAATGGTTACCTGAGCATGAAACAGCTTTTAATAACGTGAAAAAAATATTTATTGATACAATCACTTTAAAATTTCCTGATCCTAATAAACCTTACATATTAACAACTGATGCCAGTTATCATACTATAGCCGCTGCTTTGTCACAATTAAATAATGAAGGTGATGAAGAAGTTATAACATTTATATCTAGAACTCTAAAAGGAGCAGAATTAAATTATTTTACTACTGAAAAAGAATTATTAGCTGTAGCTTGGTCATGTTTAAAATTAGAAACGTATCTAAAAGGTGCGAAAGAAATAATTATTCGTACTGATCACGAAGCGTTAAAATTTTTAACGACTTGTAAATTTACAAATGCAAGATTAGTGAGGTGGTGCTTGTTTCTTCAAGACTACAACATTACGTATGAGTATCTACCAGGAAATAAGAATAAAGCCGCCGATTTTCTATCTAGACATATCACAGACTGCAGTAATAACTATACAGATGAAATTCAGATTGCTATGTTGATGAAAGAATCTTCACGAAATTTAATGAAATACTTCAAGAATATGGAGTCATTACAACAAAATGATGGTTTTATACAAAACTTAAGGAATAAAGAAAATTTTAATCATAGATACATAGTTTATAAAAATTTAGTATATAAAAAAGATAAAATTAACAACAAATTATTATTGCCAGAAATAATTATTCAAAAATTGATCCAAGAAATACATGAAGTTTATGATCATATTGGAAAAAGAAAAATTACAAAGATGTTACAGGAAAATTTTTATATTTACAAACTTCGTAAAAAAGTAGCTGTAACAATAAATCGTTGCGATTTATGTCAGCACACGAAGTATTACACAAAACAGACACTACCTGTAAAACCGTACCAAATTTAGCCACTAGGGGATATATTCTCTCTCCAATCAAATTTGCATATTGATCTGATATATTTAAACACTGGAGAGAGTAGACTATCGATCTGGAAAGATGTCTGGAAAGAGTGAAAGCACTCAGACCAATAGGTCTGATCTAAAGCACTATATTCCAGCACCATTAGCCAGACTTTTTGTGCCATCTCAAAATATGGTGCCTTGGTCTCTGTGCAAAAGCACACAGACACCATCCAAGCCTGCTTGGGTGGCAAAGGCGAAAAATAAAGATCAATCTAGGAACCAGTCTACAATTACGTTCCTGCCTTCTAACGTACCACGTCCTTCTGCTCCAGTGCCTTCTGCAGTTTTACCAACAACTTCAAGAAAGCAAAAGCGCAGGATTCAGAAAAAAATCAAGAAGCTGGCAGCAAGAATCACAAAGACGAAGGAAAAAATTAAAGAAATAAAAGAAACTATGTCATCAACACAACCAGAGCGACCTCAAACACCTGGAAATTTTTTATAACTGTAATAATAAAGAAATAAAGAAAAAATATATAAAAAACAAACTAAAATATCAATAAAAAGCTCATAAGGAACTCATTCATGAGACTTCTTATCAAAAATCATTCAGTCTCAAGAGGGGGCTATGTAACGGTCCTATTTATGAGCTATTTATTAAATGACTGCAACTAGTCTAACGTATTTATCTGTTTAGTCAAAACAATACATTAAGCGGCGCTACCTCACTGTTTACGCGACTGTACACAAATAAGAGTCGAATCAAAATAAACAGCGTGACGTCACAAAATAATAGACATAGATATAATGATTCATGATATTAAGAAAAATATGTTAATTATAGATAATTTGAATATAAAAAAGTATCGATTATATAGATTTTAACATGTAGATTCATAATATCTCATTCAATTATAAATTAATAATGAATATCAATATGCAAAGTTGATTTATTTATTAACATATGAAATATTAGAAAAATATAAATAATTTATATGCAAAATGAATAAGCATAGAACATGAGTAAGAATTGGTTTCATTAATAACAGCTGAATGACAACTGTTATTAATAAATAAACAATTAATAATTTATTTAAACAATAAGCCATATATAGAACGAAAATATTAAGTTAATACTTGATAATGATAACTTTATGATTTAGAAATCTTAGATAATTAATCTAATAATTGCATATTAAGATTAGAAAAAACCGTTACAAATATGAAAAATTAGTCATAATTCAAATGTTATTAATTAATTTAAATAATTAATTTTGGAAAATACTTCCAAAATTAATCAACTATAAAGTTATATGAAATTTTAATAATTTTCTATTGTAAATAATGTAATATCACGTTAATTAACTTTATTAGTTAATAACTTTTGACGACACTATTGGTGATAATTGTATATTGTATAAAATCAACAAATAACAAAATCTGTAAAATTTACATGTGTTAAAAACTTAATATTAATGGTTATTTACTTGTAAATTAAGAAAACTTATTTCTCAAAATTCGCGAATGTCTCTCGAATTTTCGATGAAATCTCTCCTGCAATAATAAGCGGAAAAATCTATGTATAAATAGGCCTACCTTTGCACAGGGTAGCATTTACTTCTAGCCTTGCAAGGTGAGCGCATGAGTCTGAATAAACTTGGATTAATACCTAAGTTCTTTCTCTCATTGTGATTGATTAACTAAGCAAGACTATCCTTTCCTTATAATTTGAGCTCGACTTATAGAACATCTCGCGCTATAAGAAACTTGGGCCGAATTATATCCTATGAAAGAAAGACTTTAGCTCTGCTTATGGGACAATTCGCACCATAAGAAACTAGGGCATTGTCTGACTTTCCTCGATATATTGCACTTACTTATGTATATTTGATTTACTTATTTATTATATTTGATTCATTTATCTATTTTCTTGACAATTAGAGTAAAATCATTGGAAACAAATTCTTACTCATTAGCTAGATTACGAGAGTTCGAATTATTTTATTTATAAGTGATACGAACATCACATAGTGTACTCTTATAGTTATAAAATGAAAGGGATTTTAGTTAGCCGGCCATATTGGAGACAAGCAGACGTCGGTATTAGGGTTAAGAGTGATTCAATGATCTCATCAACAATGCTTGATATGGTTTATGAAAAATTTTTATCCTACAACCTCCATAAAATACTACAATTAAACGCACGCACGCACCCGCGCGCGGGAGATTGCACTAAATATATATAGAATGCAGTGAAAATTGAATTTTAATGACAATAAAGTGTTGTACAATGATTCTCTTCATAAATGTTTATACTGTCAACTTTAAAATATAATTTTTTTTAATCAACGACAATTCTTTGAAAAATTAAAAAAATCATTTTAAAAAACCTCGTGCTAGGTTACTATCACGTTGCATCTACTGAACACATTCACGGTTAATTATGTATGATAATTTTCAGTAGTATACCTCAAGAGTTATAATTCAGTCATTTAATTATTTAGAATCATCTACAATATATAAAAAGTTCAAAGCAATACGTTAAGCTGGTAAAAATCAGACATCTTTATACAACTGCCTTTAAGTTGATACATGGAAGTTATAATAGAAATAAATTACTTGCGATCTTTGTTAGCTTAAAATATTATAGAGCTGGTTTGTTTCAATAAATATTAGTTTTATTTTCATCAATTATTCAAATTTTGAAAACATCTTATTTTGATATTATCGCATAGGTTACAGGTTTTTGTCAATTCCTCGAGGGATTATACTAGCGATTTCAATGAAATTCTTACAATAATTACCATTCTATTCCGTGGTTAAATGAACATTAATTGTTTCTAAACCATAAAGTATGCCCATTATAACGTTAATGCAAACATAGTCCGTTATTTTGTTTATTTACTTAAGGCTATTTTTCTTATTAAGGTGACAATCTTTTCAATATACATGTGTACATTGCAAAGGTACAGTTAAACATTGAAGTAAAAGTTTGATTGCTTATCAAGTATTAATACGATTTAAGTTGGCAGAATTATGAAATATTTTGAAGATTTACAGTTTTATAAATTTTATCACAGTGGTCTATACTCATAACAATTGACACATAGTCGCATTTTTACATGGATTCATCGTTCATTCCAATTACGTAACTACAATTATAATTTTCTTACAAAGACATTTATCAATCAATCCAAAGTGTTAGCACAAAAAACATTACGATATAGTTAAAAATGTATCTTAAAAATGAAGAAGTCAAAACATCTTAAATTATTGTCAACGCATTACAAATAAATAAGTACATATTATATCTAATAAGTTAGGGCAGTAAAAATGATCAGCAAAACCTCAAGCCTATAATCAAGGATAAGCTACTTTCATATAGTTAGATAGTGACTTTTTACTAACAATATTTATTTTCATAAACTTTCGTGTTCGCGTTAATATCATAGTCACATGATTGACTTATAATAAATCAATTAATAAATATAAGGAAATCTACAATCCAAGAATAAGTAACAAAGTCGAATAAAATGAAATAAAATCATGTAGATTAAGTAATGAAAAAAATCTAGAGAGCATAAAATAACAATAAAAAGAGCCTAATGGAATAGTATCACAGGGCTCATTGTAGGTAGCAGTTTCATTTTGACGGAGGCATAAACTATATACAGCAAAAGAAACTAAAGAAAGAGATCACAGCCATTCGACAAAACAGCTTCCGAACCACATAACGACAATTGGAAGTAAATATGTGGTAAGTGCACGTCCAAGTGACATGCTGGATACACTTGCAGTAGAGTCATTTTCCGTCATATTGGTCTGTCTAGACGATGGAAACTGGCCCGGGAGTGAAGTTTGTTGACCTGGAAGATCTGATGCTGGTCGACTTGTCTTGAATTCATCGTGACTAACATCTTGTTTCTGGTTGTGATCATCGCTTTTATCATGGCTGCGGTCTAACGGAGACTCAGATTCAGAACCTTCATCGAAGCCATCCTCATCATCCGTAATAGGGTCAACAGGTGAAATTCCTGAACCGCTTCCAGAATTTGACCAGCTATCTTCAACGTCAGTCCAGTCGACATCATGGCCGTTGAAAGCAAGCCTCAACCGGTTGCTGATACTACTTAATGCAAATATCTGCTCGCGAACAGCATTTACCGTATGACCATAATTCAAAGTATCACTAATGCTGGAACCTAAAGTCGAAGCACTTGCTGCTTGACCAGAAGTTCGCACCTCTGGGTTTAAATGTTGAGATTCAAGGCCTTGAGGGGTTATGGGATAAGTATATTTATCAAGATGTGTGCCATTCCAACAATCATGACTACGTGAGGGTGACGCTGCTAAGCCTTCGTCATTACATAACTTATAAGGTAAATATATCCAAAACTGCCGAGAGTCGCGCACACGTTGCTTTATTTCTTTGACAAGCTTATCAAGAAAAACACTACTTGTCTCGGCTAGTTCATCTTCTTCCTTTAATTTTGCCGAAATTCCGATTTCCTTTTCATCAATAACATCATCTTCGTACTGATTTTCGTTATCACTCTCGCCTTCTTCTTCTCTTCCATCATCTCCAATGTGGTCCGAACGACGCCCTGGTTCGGCACGCCGCCTCCGCCGTCGACGCCGGCGACCGAGTACCGGCCGTCCACAACCTGTGAATACGCGTTGTGACACATCACTGCTACTTTCTTGAAAATTCATTATAGCTTCAGAAATTTTCAAGTTTATTGGTCTAACAAGCATCTCAATATTGAAAGGTCCCAAGAGCCGGTCAGCAACTTTATCCACAGCATCTGTGATGAAACAATACGTTATATTAATTGAAAATGATTAATCTGAGAAATTAAATAAATGAATCTAAATTGTTTGAAAATAGTCACGTTATTTTATAATAATAAACCAATTGTATATAATAGTATACCAATAATATACTAAAATTGTATTATTCAAGCAATAATTTATATGCTATCCATAAGTTTTTGTCTTTAATAAAATATATATCACTTAAAATAGATTTTTAGTAATAATAGAATAAATGTTGGTTACTTAGAAAATTTTCTTTCATTGCAGATCTCGATCGAGTAAATTTTTTAATAGAAAAAATGTGTTTACATGTTCCAACATTTTTAAGGTGTAATTAAATTCTATTTAAAAGGCCGAAAGCAATGAAATACAAAATGTAGCACATTCATACGCTTTAACCACTCGTCTTGCAGTATATTTTCTAAAACATAATTCTCTAGAACAGTGTACATTAAATAGACAACATATACAGTCAAAGATAAATCAGTAAAACGTAGTCAATAATAAATTGAGTGGAGATAATTTTTACTTATAGTATTTAGGTGTCACTGTTTTATTTTTTTGCTCTAAAATTTTGTAAAACTCAGTCAAATGATTACAATAAAACCAGCCAATATGGATCCTATTGAACAATAAGAAGAGATAATTCTAGCTATTGATATTTAGGATGAAGCTAATAATGAATCCGCAAGGCCAACTGAGTTGGATGTATTTTCCCCTCGACCAGATGTTAACTTCTCATGCCCACCGTGTGCCTTGCGTAACCATTATCCGTCACGTCAATTTTCTCAGCAACAACAATATAATAACTACGGTCAAAGGGAAGCGATAGCTCATATATGAAGTAAAGCGGTATTTTGGAGTTGTGCACAACAGCTCATCATATGCACATTACCACATAACATGCACAAGCTACACCCCAGCTAAATACCCCGGCGTGAGGAAGGAAGGAAGTGTCTTCTCCTAGCTTGTGCGATTGAGTGAATGGAAGAAGGCTTAATATAATGATCTTAACAGACGAAGGTTTCACCGCTGGTTAAGCTGAATGTACCGTGTAAAGGATTTTACTTCTTTCAATTTAAGTACTGATGGATTTTACTTCTCTAATGAGTGCCATATGAGATCAGACGGGTGGAAAAAGGTGCTTATTCCATGATTGGTAGGTGCAGATGCTTGATGGACTGATAAATTTGCAAACAGAAGCGTTGGTCTTATAAACATGCTTGTAACGCTGAGTTAGGCCCGCGAAGCATAGTCTTAACTAACAGACGTAGAATTCGCACTGGCGTGAGAGGGATGCTTTCTAATTACACAGCCCACAACTTCATTACACTAATACAGGCATGATACAAATACGCCGAGAAGAGTAAACATAACACGGTTGTAGGTGGAACCCATCCTTAACATGTTTAAATAAATAAGGTCGAGTTCTCATTTGAGTACGGTGTCTTCTTATCTCAGTTCTGATATCATCGGCGTGCATAAGGGCTGGATCGCAAAACTACATATTCTATGTATGTGATACACGAATCTACCACTGGTGGGGATAACTTCCATCAAGCGGCTACCGTCATTAGGTATAGTGTAACGTTATTACGGTTAAAATCCTCTAGAATAGTTGAACCGTGCCACTGTATAGATGCTCCAGGGAAATTGCATTCGGTTAACTACGTCAGTAGCCGAATTAAGCAAGTGAAACACTTAACAGAGCGGTATAACCAAATGGTGAAGGAAGGGAGTGACGTTCCAACTAACACACACGGGTCCACTTGAGACGTAATATGGAAGTCCTCCTTAGTGCCTTCGATTCGCGCATACCCGCCTCTAAAAGTTACTATAAGGCGAATTGACTCCGAATTAGGTTTCCTTATGGTATATAGTAAGTCGATATAGAGAGTCAGTTATGTCAAGTGTTGAGTCAACTAGTCAACACTCGTCATCTATGACAGAGGGTTCCGAAAACCAAAATGATCAATGATCTCGCGGATACCAACACACGAGTCATTGAAGTACAATACGGAAGGTAAGGAAGGTGGCATTTACAGGAACGCTTAACAAAAATAGCGGTTTGAGCCCGACAACTACCGCTAAACTGAATAAATTAAATAAAGCAAATGCTTCAACGGTCAGAAATATGACTGTGCGCTCTCAATTACAGAAGATTAATTGAAGTCTTGCAGAAGATGGAAGATAAGACTAAAGTGTAGAGGAACATCAGCACCGTTATTAGAGACGGTATGAAGATCATAAAGAAGGATACGGAGTGTATGGTGTATAAATGTGACCATCACAACACTTTCGGAAAATAGTCCGAATAAGAGTACCGGATATTTAAAAGTGAGTAATGCCGCAAAGGGTCGGAGAAAGGTGGTCTTCAGAAAAAACAGACGATCGGTGAAAGGACAAAGACTAAACAGTGCGAAAACCATAGTAAATATAACAAAAGTGGGAATAGCTACAGTGACAGTCGCAGATACAGGTAGCAGAAAGAATGAAACGTGAGAGAAAAAAAGACAAATATGAAACCTGTGAAGCAGAAAAGCGATACAGAGGCTTTGCTCATTAAGCCGATTGTTAGGAGACGTACGCAGGCATAATAAAGATAATAAAATCTTGAGCTGACCCAGATATTGCAAATTTTTAGGTTTAAGGATATTGAAAAATCAGACTGTATTTGCGTAAAATCACAAATGTCGGCAAATCCTTTCAGGTAGAGTTCAGAACTAGGCGACGATAAAACTGTTAAAGGTTTAGCATCCTACGTCTATCAAGAAATTCTAGATCTGGATTGTACAACAGTGCCGAAAAAAGTTATGAAGGCTTTGACGAAAGTAACTGGTGATACACGAGACTCATGACTACTTTTGGACCAACTATACTTGGGAATAATACATGGCGGTAAGCCAGCAAAAGGGAAAGGCGGCATAGACGATACTTCGGACCGACCGTATTAAAATATAATGCATCAGCTGCCTCGTATATCACAGGATATCAATACCACGGTACTTCTCTTGTCTCGACTACGGGCACAAACAGCAAGACTGCAAAGGAATGGACAGACGAAGAGCATGTTGAAAGTGTGGATCACACCAACAGGTCGTGTAATAAGACGGACACATTGTGCTTCCTGTGCTCTGACGTGGGTTACGAGTAGATAATACACCTGTTTGGCAGGAATACGTATCGAGTTTTCGGAATTGCATTAGAGGAATGCAGGAAAGCAAGTAGTAATGAGCATAATACTACAAGGTATTTTGCGTGAATGTGAGGTATCATAACTACTAATTGACTAGACCGCATTGTTACAAAACGCAGACATCCTGATTATTAACTAATAGTACAAAAACTTGATGGCGAACCATTTGCTTCTTTAACCTCTCGGATACGTTGGCATAATGGATATAATGGGATCTTCGAGAACTGCGATATGCGGATCGGGGGTGGGCGAAGATTTCATATGGGTACAGGTACGAGCAATTATTTATGTGAGTCTCTACTTGATCGCAAATTGCTCTGTCAAGGAATTTGAGGAAAAGTTAAAGAACCTTGAAGATGTTTTGAAAGAACCAGTTATCGCAAGCGACGTGAACTCAAGGGCGATCGAGTGGGGAATGCCAAAGACAAATAAAAAAGGGATGTTTCTGTTGCAGATGACTGCAAGCCTTAATCTGGTAGTCGATAAGACGCTAACGAAAGCAATGAGGGCCACTCAATATCGCTATGAAAGGAATTATTTGTTGAAGTCAACTAGAATCTATGGGGTTTGGGCTATAAAATACCGATTAAGAGACTGGATGTTTTAGGCCCCCTGAAACTGAATGACAGTGACACCATGTAATCTATAGTCGACGGACTCTTCCTAACACACCCAGCAAGACAAAATACGATAGAAGACTGCGAACAGGTTTACTGAACCAAAATTTACTAAACCGAAGCTCAAGAGAGCCACTGAAGGCTGGAAAAGCACCTGGACCCGACAGTATACCAGGAAAGAGCCTACGGCTGATATCAAATATCAGACTTAGGACTCTTTTAGACATATACAACTCATGTCTACGGGCAGGGACATTTAATAAAAAGTAGAAAAATTGCCTGCCTGGTTCTTCTTTATAAGGGAAGAGAAGACCCTGGATCGTTATCTTCCCTAACGCCTTTGAGCTTATTTGACGCAGCAAAATATAACCCACTACTTACATGACAGAAAAGTAACTTATGAGACTGTTGATGGTTTAAGAAGTACGAAAATTACAGTGCAGAAATCAATTCTAAGGCTACTCCCCCGACTGTGATATATAATAGCTTGCTGGAACTGGAACTCTTGGAAAACGTACTACTTATTGCCTACGCTGACGGTCTAGTAATTAGTGTAACAACGTTGTTACTTCACCTACGCGCGTTGCTCAAAGGGGAAGGAGGAAAAAGCATAGGTCATTAAATGATTTTTCGCGTAAACTTCGAAATCTAACGCAAACTTATTATTCTAAACCACATAAACAAATTAACTCGCAAGACTTACTACTAATACGAACAATTAATAACACATTAACTCGCATGCCTTACCGCTAATAAATAATATCGAGAACATGTGGACCTTATCATTACTACCGTTGACGAACAAGTCGTGGATCACCCGGCAACAGGGCCGCCTTGACAATCCGCGTTTTAGAAGAGCTGTTGCTTGTATAAAGAATCTTGATAGCCGGCGTGTAAAGGCCTGGCTACCGAGTATTGCCGTACTTACAACTGAATCACCCCAACCCGACCCCACCGATTTTAATGATTTTTAAATATATGGTAATGCTCGAAAAAATATTCGACACGTGTTTTTTTTAACGGTTGATATCAACTTTTAAGAGATGAAATCCACCCATGAATACCATTCTGCAAATTCATTTTTTAATATATTATCTTTTTTATAGGGGTTAAACTTCTATTTTTTTTGCTACTTTGAGATTCAAAATCTGTTAAATAAGGTTGAGTGGGTAGAAAA